AAACCTTCCTAGCTGTGGTTTTGACCAGTTTGGGAGTGCCTGTTGTGTACACCCCCCAGCCAGAATGGCCTAACTACAATGTATGCATGCAGCTAATGCCCCTGGAGCCCGCAGTCCAGAGCAACTGAGGTATTTGGGCTACGACGCTGGTGAAACAGGCTGTGGTGGGAGCAAAGGCAGTTGCAAAAAGCCCTGCACTTGTCTGGAGAGGAGCTTCAATTGGCTTAATTTCTTTTTTTGTTGTTGTTGTTGGCCCATTCTGTGGCACTCTGTGCACCCACGCAGACTGGCACACACCAGGACCCCAGAATGAGCTCAGACTAGGGTGTGAGGCTGTGTCAGGATTTCAGAGGGTTTGGGCTGTCTGCATGAGTTCACTCCTGTTTCTCTGGGGCTGCGGTGCAAGTGCAAGCTGTACGTGGAAAATGTGACCCTCCTTGCGCTGTCAAATGGGAGATCTTGGGTAAAATGAACTTCAGCGAGGATAGCCAGGAGCAGGCTTTTGACGGTGCCTTGAGACCGCGCTTGCAAGTTTGCATGCCTTGAGCATGATGCTTTTGCAGCTGGCACACACAGCAGGCTCCACAGCTGCCTTCCCGCTCCCTCCGAGAAGCAGCAACTTGGCCTGGTCTTGTACCCATTAATTAGCCGTGTTTGGCACACGCGGTCTGGGAAAGACAGAGGAGCCGTGCTGCCGCACTGCGCTGAGCCCTCTGCTGCTCCAGGCAGCCCCCTCCTTCTCTGAGCCCCCCGGGGCGGCAGCTGGCTGCAGTGGCCAGCTCTGGTCCCCCTGGGGGGCCCTTTCACATGTGGGGGATTAAACCTCAGAGGCCGCTGTGCTTTGGGAATATTGTGTCAACAGGTGTATCGTTCCCCTGTGATGTGAGACGAGCCTGGTGTCTCTGGTGTGGTCTGGAGGGGGAAAGCGGGACAGGGACTGCAAAGCCCAGGCAGCAACGGTGGGGCTCTGCTTGGCAGGTGGCCCCGCTGCGGTGGCTCTAAGTCAGCAGCTGTGGGATGTCCAAGGCATGGTGCTGTTGGAAGTGTTTGTGGGGACCATGTGGCTTTTGCCCCCCCACTCCCCCCCACCCCATCTGTTCCTGTCCAAAGAATTGGGGGCATAAGGGGAAAATGCCATTCTGAAGTGACTGTATCACACGATTGACTTTCAGCTCTCTCGCTGATAACTGGTCAGTCAGTCCAGCTTGGGACTGGACACAATAATAAATGGGATTTTAGCATCCCAAAGTGGGAAGCAGCATTTTTTAATGCCTAGTGAAAAGCCATAGGAAGAATTAAATGAACCAAAGGGAGCCTGGGCCACACTGTGTGGATCCAGATGCCACCATTGCCACCAGTCCTGCAACCTTGGGATGTGATCCTTCACTGAAGGCAGAAACCTGACTGTCAACTAGCTAGGCCTATGAAAGGCTAGTAGTTCGTGGAGTGCTTGGACTTATGGTTCTGGTTAGGCTCATTTTGTCAACAAATAGGCACATTTTGAACAGCAGGTCGCCTGCCTTTCACACTGAAAAGCTCGGCAGTTACACAGGGCCGGGGAAGCGACAGGAGCTTGGGGAATCTGGGATGAAAAGGCTCGGGCAAAACAAGGAACATGTATCAGCACCTCCACGTTGCAGAGGGGATCTCTGCGCAGCCGAAAAAGATCATGAGGGGCCCCAGTGCCAGAGGCTGGGGGTGGGGGGGCGAGCCTGAGAAACAGCAGCTTGTGAGGGTGGGTGGCCGTGGGGTCTGGCTGTGCGGCGGCAGGGCAGCTGGGCTCCGCACCGCTCCTGTAAAGCCCGCTCAACTCCAGGCTTTGTCACTGGGAAGGCATTTCATCTTGTTTCAGTTTGTAGTGTAAAATGTGGCATCTGTGGGGTGATATTTCTCTGTAAAGGAAAGGGGTATTTCTCTAAATGTTATATTTGTGTAGTAAGGAAAAATAATGTGGAATTTTTTTTCCTTTCTTAGAAAACACTGTTGTGTTGTGGAGGTATTGTGAGCAGCCTCATTTGTCTCTCTCTGCTTGCAGCTCTTGTTTATCATGTTGATAAAAGATAGGCTTGGTAAATCCTTGTGAGAGAGTGACTGTGGCCTGCTAGTCTTTAATTCATCCTCAGAGTGTAGCTAAACTTTCCACGGATATTTAAAACAACGGCATTTAATCTCTAACACAGTTAAAAGGCTTATGTGTTCCTTCTGCAGAAGTGAGACACATTGGCGGCGGTTCTTATTTATTTTATTTGTTTGCCCCAGCTTGAAAACTAAGTAGGCAAAAGGAAAGTTCCCATTTTAATATTCTAAGGGACTGAATTGCTTCAGTGAAAGCAAAGGCTGTTGTGCAGTTACTGATGCATAACCCTGCTTTCTTTCATGTTAGTCTGTGCTTTGGCTATGGGGATCTCGTCTGCATATTTTTACTAAATATTGATAAGGGACATCAGTCCCTGAGCACTGATTGGTTGATTAATCAAAGTCCTTAACCAATCACTCGGTAGAGGTTTGCATAACAATGCGATTATTTCTGAAAAACTGTGCCTATTGGAATTGCAAACCTTTCTACTTTGATTTGCTTCTGTAATGCTTCTGCTTTAACTGCCTCCATTGCTCACATTTTCAAAGTATTTAGTAACAATGAAGATGCTTCCTAACTCCTATATCTTTTTTTTCTGTGGCCTGTGTGTGGGGAAAAAAAAGTAACAGCAATAAAACTTAAAGAATTTGCACACAGAAAAGGAGAAAAATGTGGGGAAAAAAAAAAAGAGGGAAAGAAAATGTTGTTGTTTTTCCCAAAGCTAAAAGTGTCATCTGAAGCTCATATTCCTCTCTTTTCTTGCCTACCTTCCCTCCAGGACTGTTTGCGTGATTTTCCTCGTGTTGTCGATACTGTACCAGTTCTGACCCTTCACTAATATTTTTGGCTATTGGAGAGGAACTAGTTTTCAGATCTGTGTGAATATAAATTGAAGTGAAAGAAAGGAAGATGACTGCAGGGAAAGATGACCGGAAAGGGAAGGAATTTTTTTCTAGATTTGGGGTTTATAACTTCAGTTCAATTTGCAGTAAGTTTGCTGTTTGTGTGTGTGTGGTTTTCCTCTCCTCTGCCCCTTACTATAAGGCATGGTAATAACTGGGTATGTTTTTACGGACAGCAACTTGAAGATTAGCCCACTTAGTTCTTTTATTTCCGTTTTGTAAAATAGTGGGGAATTCAGCCTGCATGGTAGTGTGTTGTTTCATGGGGGTAATGGGTCTGGAGATGTAAAGCTAGAATGCAATGGGCATTAAGCAGTATGTCCAAAGGCAAGTGTTTGCAGCTCTTGGGTCAGAATCCAAATTATGCAGTAAAACAGTATTACATGCCTCCTGATTTTGGACGATTTGGGGTATCCATTTTCAGCTTTTCTTCTCATCCAAAAGGGCTAAAATTTCCCTTGACCCTGGGGTAAGAGAAGCTGAAAACTTTCTTTGGCTTCTGATTATGGTACTTAGCTATGCTAGACTTTGCTTAGTCATTCTTGTCCCTGCAAAGATTGGGTGTGTGAATCACAGCTTGAAACTATTTCTGCTTCCATTTTTGAGGCCTTGAATGTGCAAGGCAGTGATGGAACAGACATCGTGGTTCTGTCCTGTCTTCATACATCTTCTAGAAATAGGACATGTGATTCTTTGTGTTTGACAAGACACATCTGCACTGATTTTAATGGGGTGTAATTTGAAACTAGTTTAGTTAAACCAGGGCAGATGGCTGCAGTATTGTATGTAATTTCTTCAGTGCAAGGTTGTGGTGCTGCTGCAAGATTATGAATCTGGTTTTAGGACACCTCACAGCAAAAAGGGTAACACTGTTGTCATAAATCTCAGTGTTGAACAAGTACAAATTAATTCTGCCCATTAAAACATGTAATGAAAAACAATCCAAAAACCTCTCAGAAGACTTTGTCAGGGAATGGATTGTCTGGACTACTGCACAGCATTAAAGATTGTATCTTATGCTTTTGTTTTTTAAGCATTAGCTAAAATTATGTAGTCATGCCTGATCCCAATCAGGCTTGTACTGGCAGGTGATCAGATATTATGTAAAGCTCCTATCAATGAAAATGGAACCAGAGCCATGAAAATTTGCAAGGATTTAACTAAATTGATTTAATATAATCAAGACCTGGTTCTCTGTAGACAGGGTTTTTATTTACTGCTTTAATACACTTATGTTACATACGACATCTATGCCTCTTTCAAGTTTCTGTGCAGTAGTTCGGCAAGCAAGAATAGAAGTTGGAATGGTTTCCAAAACAGAAAGTTTAGCCTAAAAATCCAAAATAGAATGAAAAAGATGTCTTCAAATTTGTTTTCTCAATTATTCATACTTCAGGCTTTAATTTATAAGATATTTTAATTCAGTCTGAGAATAAACATGTGACCTATCTCACCAGGACTTTAGACTGAACTGCAGAACTCCCCCCTGCCCAGTTAGGTCTTGTTGCACATTATCAACCAAGACATTTCTGATGGGGAAAAAAAAATGGAAAAGATACTATGGAAAGTGTTCTGTGTTTTCAACCAACCTTGCTCATGATGAACAGGTTGAATGGGAATTCTGCAGGCTGGAAAGCACATCTGCTTAAAACATGTGTTGAGTTTTCTTTCTTTCTTTATGTTAACAGTGAGCACATTTGTTGAACTCATGTTTTCTTCACAATCTGTTTGCTAAATTAGGACACAAACCCAAGAACGCTTGTGCATGAGAGTAATTTTCTGTAAGTGAGTAGTGTCACTGAGTTCAGTAAGAGCAGTCACGCACAGAATTAAGCACATGCATGAGAGTTTGCAGAAATTTGGCAAACATGTTGTTGTCATGAACAGATTGCCCAGCTTTGCTTGTAATGCAGCTATAAATTCTTGGCTTGGTCCTATTTTGAGTAGCCCCCATTGTATGAGCCATAAACTATTCTATTGTGCTAAGCCTAACTGAGGATATTTCTTTTATTTTGTCATAGCAACAAGAGCAAGATCCCACAAATCTATACATCTCAAATTTACCCGTTTCCATGGATGAGCAGGAACTGGAGAACATGCTGAAACCCTTTGGACATGTCATTTCCACCAGAATATTAAGAGATGCTAATGGAGTCAGCAGAGGAGTCGGCTTTGCCAGGTGAAACCTTTACTCTTTTTTGATTCATGCACATTTTTTGGCTTTGGTCCTTTGCAAATGCTGCCTATTCCATAACTCTGAAGCCTCATAGCTATGGCAAATGCAGAACAGCACCTTTATCAGATTGTGTGTATGTTCTTTCAGCCAAGCTAAAGAATACCAATGCAGATGGATGATTGTTACATTTCTTTAAAAAATAGTTCATTGTATGTATGTATAGGTAAATAAAAATTGCTATGAATAGTGAGCTATCCATGCAGTATCAAGCTTGGATAATAATAAATGTCCTACAGCCAAAAGCACACACTTGGTGAAGAAACTGTTTAAATGTTTAGCAAAGATTTTGCAACAGGAAGAAGTAAATTTAGCAGTTGGAAGAGCAAAGGGGAGGAACTATAACTGAAGAAACGTGGCTTCCTTGAAAGCTGCAGGGAACTCAAGCCTGTGACAAGAGCTTAAGAAGAAATATTTGCATATAACAAGCCCTGTTGGAGTAGTCAGATATTTTAGACAGAATGGGCAACATATTATTACCATGTACTTCATTGTCAGTACAGATAGACAAGTTTCCATGTTTACTCTCAGGGAATATTTACATAGATTCTCTTCAGCTTGAAACATTCTTGAATCAAATAGTTTTCTTTTGAAAAGCCAAGGAATAGAGAGCTATATATAGAAAGGTATTGAAAAAGCAAATAAGAAGAGAAATTTGCAATTGTGCTGTAAATCATTTTTCTGCTTCAAAAGAAAAGGGGGAAAAAAATCTCAAATCTTTGTTTCTACAGAATATTCATAACATTGTGTTTTGTAGAGAAGGCAAAATGACTTAGTCATCTTGCGAATTTCTTTGAAATACACCGTATCTTGGTATATCATGGCACTTCTGTTAGTGTCATAACACTACTGAGTGAAATGGGGTACTGTATGATAAAAACGTGGCTTGCAAGATAAGTGACATTGTAGTGTTACCTTTGTCCTTGATGTGAAAGATCATTTTGCACAAAAATTGTTAAGATAATATTGTCTGAATTCAAATGGAAAAAGGCAAAACATTTATGCTGAACGATGACACGCTGTTCCTTACACATTCTTGCAGGTAATAACGTGAATTTTTCTACCTCACTAAATACAGATCAGTGTAAGACACGGATAAACTTGCATTTTAAAAAAATTACTTTGTGGAAATGTATTTAATTATGTAACCTATTTCAAGAAACCTTTGGTGATCTAGCATGAAGGTTGTGTAATTCACCATGCAAATGACAAAGAGGTAAAACCTTTGCTCCATCAAAGTATACAGCAGATCGTCCATTGACTTGAATGAGAGCAGAGTTAATCCAGGAATTTAGAACTGTAGCTGAATGCTGACTCTTGTCTTTGCAGAATTATCAATACAAGATTTAATTACATGACCACCTGACCTTCTTTTTGTAATAAAGTGCTATTTGGTATCTTTTTCCTGCACGTCAATCCAAATAGATTAATTTATTTCACTTTGCTTGTCATGAGGGTTTTGTTCTAGTGTACCTACAGTGTGAGCGCATGCTGAGTGGGTATAAATGCAGTACAGGTAGGGGATGGCAGCTGTATTTCAGCCCAGATAAGATTTCAGAAGTTCAAATCAGCAACCCGTGTGGTGATCCTGGCTATTACACCTTCTGACCTGGGGCCTTTTTATCACAGCTCTTAACTGAGCCACAGAAGGACAGGAGTAAAAGTTAACTTTGCATACGCTAAAATGATGCAGCATCCAGCAATTTTGAAATTTGATGTTTCAAAGTTACTAATTAAGCACTATGATGATTAAAAATCACTTTTTGATTCTGCCCAATTATGTGAATAGTCAATCTCAAAATAAGTATATTCAAAAAGCAATCGGAAATAAAGACTTAACGGTAGACAGCTATTGTCAGATTTTTCTCCTAAATGGGTATGATTAGCAGTTTTATAGTACTGCAGGTGGCTACTTAATCATTTATAACCTGGGTAACTTCAAATGTTCTTGGATCAAAATTATCTGAGTAACGTCTGGCTGCATTAGAGTTCAGCCTCCTTTAAAGTATGCACATTCAAAGCTAGCTCTGTTTTTTTAAGCTGTGAAAGTATTTCCTCTCTTTTGCATCCCTCCGAAGCAACTGAACAGATTTTCCCGAAACTTTCCAGAGCATTTCTCTGTGGCTTGAACCCAACTGTGCCTAGGTATGCCCCAAGGGAGATTTTGGGGAGGAGAGTTATGAGCAAGGGGCCAGACAAGGGAAGCTTTAGACTCCAACTGTGGCTCCACAGAAGTCCATCCAGTTGAAAGGGAATTGCCATAACCTCTAGACACCCGACTCTGCCTCACCCCTGGCCTGTGCTTTGTACTTCAAAGCGATGCTACCTGGCTCCAGGCTCTCCGTGGGAGCTGGCATTCTGCAGGGCTCATGTTGCTGTTGTCGTTTGGCAGCGTGGGTTTCTGCTGACACCGGCAAGCAGAAGCTGGGACTAAACACAGCCTATCGTATAGCAGAGAGAGAGAGAAATTAGGAGGAGGAGGGGAAAGAAATACTTACTAGAAGGAAGGAATTGGAAAAAGGAAGCGGTACAGATGAGAAGCTTTAAGTTCAGTCTGTTGTAAGATTGCTGTCCGAAGAGGGAATGACGCAGTGTTGTCCTCACACAGGATTTCATCACAAGACTTAAACTTGTAGGCGTTTCTCTTAAATCCTTGTGGCTGGGAGTCATCTGATGACTTCAGCATCTGATCTTTCCTTTAAAAAGTATAAGTGGATTCCTCAGAGCTTAGAACAAAAGCATAGACCTTCACTGTCAAAAAAAACCCCAAAAAACCAAAAAACCACCACCACCAACAACAAAAAAAACCAAACCAAAGGAAAAAAAGCCACAGAAACTGGATTTGAAGACTTTTTTCGAGATATAATTTTAAAGCTGATCTCTTATGAATTGAGTTTTGCAAACAGGACATTAGCAGTGTTGGTGGTCATGTGAGTAAAAAGGAGATCAAACATAATGAGTAAGTGAGCAGGTCTTTGAGGGAGGCTGGAATTGCTGGATAGAAGGTACTGAAAGCATGGAGGGAAATATTTAACTTCATCCTGAAGATGTGTTGTCACTTACAAAGAGTGTATGTGCTGGAAGACCTGGCTTTCCACAGGCCCATAAAGGGTGAGTTCCAGATGATAAGGTAGGAGAAGATAAAGAAATAACACAATCACAGTGGAGCCAAAGTAGTGGTGCTGTTTTGCTAAATGAAAGGGAGAATATTTAGAGGGAGATTTCTGAGGATCAGTGATGATGCTACTTTGGAGGCAGAGAAGTGTCAGCAGCACCAGGGGATAAAGGAACATTCAGGCAGTTTAAGGATGCATTTGTGAAGAGGGAAGTACTTTGTTCTTCCTTATTCAAGGGTTTAATTGAAAGCAGTTGAAAAGGTACTATAAATTTAGCTTGAACAAATCCATCATTTGGGATGGTAGTGCAGGGTTAGATATTATAAGGATCATTCCTACTTTTAGTCAGAAGAATGATCTGTCATATCCTACATCTTACCCAGGAAATTGCCTCATAATTGGGTATCTCAGGTGAAACTGGAAATCACAAACATGCCCCGAAGACTTTGTGTGATACCTTTAAAATATTCCAATGCCTGTGGTGATAAATTTCCATTGAAAGGCCACCCTGGAAGGGGCTCACAGCATTACTGCAGGGTGCTGTGGAGGTCTGTGGGAGAATGTATCTCTGTGACCCTTACATTTCCATCTGGCATTGCAACCTGGACCAAATTTTGGTAGACTCGGTACATCCCTAAGAAAATTGCCAGGCATGGAGCTGCACTTTCAGGGAGAAGCAAACTCCAGAGAGGGACAGGTGGGGCAGGATTCCAAGAAAAATATCAGTGGGACTCCGTAACATGAAAATGGATATGAAGCCCTTGAAGGTGAAGAGGGAGGAACAAGGAAAGTTAGGAGCCATCAGATATTTTGACTAAGCAATTTTCATAATCCAAGCCCGAGGTACTGTGAGTTTAATTGAAGAACTCCTTGGGACATGGAAAAGGGGGCAAGGAGGCATTGGGGTATACCTTGGGGAGGGACTTACTGATACCACTGAATCAATGAAATAAAAATTTTATTTTATAACCCCACAGTAAAATACCATTCAAATATTATTTAAGTATCCTTCCTATAAAGATAGTATTAGTAATACCATACACACATGTACCACACTCAACTGAACAGCAGAGCAAGCGTTTTATAGGTCCTTTTAAATGATAAAGCGCAAAGAAAGAGTTAGAAACCACTAACTTTTTTATTTTGTTTGCTGTCTTGTAACTTAAAACGACCTTGCAAGATTCACCCCCCAAGCGACATTTTACAACGAAGTCATAAGCCTCTGAAAACAGAAATTTATGATGGAAATGCTGACAGTCAGACAGTCAAGTATTGCACTGCTGGCGGGCACCAGTATAATGCTTAACCTGAGACTGTGACGACAGTAGCATAAATCAGCCTGGGTCTAGGTGGAAATGACTGTGTGTTCATACTATTCTTTTTTCAGTAACATGAGAAAATTTGTTGAACACAAACTGTCATAAAAGAATGTTATGATGCTGTTCCCAGCAAATGACCAAAGTCAAGAGATTCTCAATTAGCTGTCTCTATCGTCTCAGAGCAAAAGGAAATATCAGGGAGATGCTTCCATCCCTTTGTGACAGAGCTGGGGGGTCTGTAGTGAGGCATTTACCCACTTTTTTGCTGGGAGTTTGGGATTCATCCTTGTCTTTTCCCTACCTTGTTCTTCTGACAGAGCTTTCAATGGGTTGCTTTTCTCTGCCTGCATATGTTTTTTATTAAACTTATCTCCTACTTGTCTGCATTTTCCATGTCTTTAAATTTAGTCTTTGGAAACAGTATTCAACTCAGCAACTGAAAGGGAGCAACAGAAAATGGGAAACAAGATTTTGAGCCCCCACAGGATTGTTATTCTATTTATAGAAGCTT